CCATGGTATAATCTCTGGACATGACAGGCATCCGGCCAAAAGCACGTGGCTCTCCAGAAGCAAGTCCACAAAGCACAGCTAATCTCAGCCTCTGCCCTCAGATGGTGCTGCAGCCCTTCCAGCAGGTGACTGGGCTCCATATCCTCCCCTTGGGTAGGAAAGCTGTCTGGGGTGACTAGGTCCTGAGTAAACAGTGTTCCTGGCCACCATCCTCTTTCAACACTGAATTGGATGCATCCCTCAGCCACCCCGCCACATGGTTACCGGTTACTTCTCTGGGTTTGCTCCTCCAACACAGCCGTAACTGGTCAGTGGCTCTTAGGCCTCCCGAAGGACAGCAGGATCTCCAGGCTGCTCGCCCTGCCCCACAGTGCCTCCAGCCTCCAGCCTGGCCTCAGCCGCAGCACCAGGACCCAGGTACACTTTACCTGCTTAAGCTTCAAACGCGACACACCCAGAAGGGGAGGGAGGAGGGTGGGGGCTCCTCTGATCTGGGATCAGCTCCCAAGGAGGAGAGACGGCCACTCCTGGCCTGTTGTGATTGGCTGCCCAGGCAAGAGACATGCAGCTCCCTACTGGAGCCTGGGAAGAGCAGAGACATTGTTCACCCAGGGCCCTGCCCAGCTGAAGGCCAAAGGAGTCAGGGATCCTCTAAATGGAAGTATATGCAGCAGGAGGAACTTGAATTAGAGCTTAGGAACTGTGTCTAGAGTGTGCAGAGGAAATTCTTACAGCTGGAGGAGACAAATCCTTGTGGTGTGGCTTTTGGGATACCAGTTTTATGGGTGGGGGCTGTTAGGTGGTCCCTGGACATTCCTGGGTTGAAAGGAAGACTAGAAAGGCTTCAGTGGCTCTCCAGGGATACAGTCCCAAGGCTGGAGGAGGAGGACTTTGCACAGTCAGCTCCTCACGGACTGCCGGGCACTGTGGTGACACATTTGCAGAACTGCCCAAAGCCAAGGGAGAGTGACCCAGTCCACTCTCCTAAGGGGTCAGTTGAAACTGGCACGAAGAGAGGCCAGGGGTCACCCACAAGGACATGGGAGTACCCAGTGTAATCTTTTATGATGTCCTAGTTCTGCCTGGTGGGAACACCTGATGCTGAAAGTGTTGGCTCTGAAGGACCTTAGGTACCAGCTGGCTTTAGGGCCCAAACTTGCACATCATTGCCTCCAACGCTGCTGCCACTTATAGCACCATTTGTGCTGTTTGCTTAATATCGTTCTTTACATGTGACCGCACACACCTGTCCCTTTTACTTGTCCTTAGTATCAATAGCCACAAAATGTATGTGCTGGTTATGTTTTTTTTCTAATACACATTAAATAATTACACAAGTATACTAGTAAAAAGTCTTTTCCTGGCCTTGCTCGTGTGAATCACACTTTGGAAAGTCATGGGCAGGCTTAGTGACCTCCTCACTCTCTGGAGAAGTGAGACTCAGAGGGGAGGTGCACCCTGCCTGAAGTCACACAGTGGGTAAGCAACCAAGCCAGTGGCAGGACCAGGGCTCCTGGCCTCCAGCCTGGAGCCTTGACCCTCCGTGTCCTTCCCCCCTATTCCGTCATCAGAGGAGCCCCTAAATCTCAGGGAGACATCACCCTCAGGTCCGCCTGCCTCCAGCCTCAGCTCCATGCCTGGGATGAAGAGACCATGGGCCAAATAGCCACTAATTAGCCTGAGAGCCACGGAACTGCTCGTCCCTGAGAAGCTCAGAGCTGAAGCCTCAACAAGCCAGGCCTCGCTGAGGGGTGTTGTGGTCTAGAGTTAGGGGCTCCTGATAATGCTGAGCAGAAAGTCGCTGTTGAACCTCAGGACCTTGACTTGAGGAACAGGAGGCTGTGACAGCGATCACAGGAGTGTCAACAGAGCAGCCTGCACTCACTTGGTGCCAGCCTAAGTATCACCTATGTCTGAATGACAGTCTCTACAATAACCTTGGATGGATATGGCTGTTATCCCCACTGTGCGGTGAGGAAAGGGAGACATGCAGTTTAAAGTTCTACTCAGAGTGGCCCAGCTAGTAAGCAGCAGAATTAGGATTTGTACCAGCTGCTGGGCTCGGACTTCATGTTCTAACACCCCTCGCCCTCCTTGCTTTATAAGCAGAGCACTGGTGTCTTAGGGAGGCTTCCACCCAGCCCCTCTTCTGGCATTTATCATTTGATGAGCACTTACTGCTGGCTGGGGCCTGGAGCCTGGGAGCTCTGACTCAAGGTCTGGCTCTGAAGAAGTAAAAGGATGCTGGCAGTCTTGGGGGCCACACTGCCACTCTACCCACTGACTCCTTGGAGCCTTGGAGGCAGTGCCTGTGCCAGGGAAAGCAGAATGCTTAGTCCTGGACAGCAAGCTCAGGCATGGGCAAACCACTAAAGCCCTCTGGCCACTCCTTCCAGCTCAGCTCCCTCCTCATGTCCATACCCTGGAGGAAGAACTAATCCACTGGGAGCTGGTAGGAAGCCTGGCAAGAACAAAAGCCCTGTGGGGTGGCTCAGCATCAGATGTTTGCTGGGATCCACTAGGGGCTATCTAATAGCCCTGCTCCTAAGGGCCTGCAGGGACAGAGGGACAGACAGTCCATGGCCTCAATAAGGAACTCATGCTTTGGGAAACTGGGCACTCAAGTTTTGAAAGTAGGAAATGACGAGGTGGTCAGACTGCACACAAGCTCTCAGTTGACTCTAACCAGAGGTGCAGAAGGCCTGTACTGGGGCAGTGATGGCAGGTGAGGAAGGGAGAAGACAGATTCCAGAGCCATTTGGAGGTAAAATTGGTGGACTTTGTGATTGATTGGATATAAGAGCTACAGATAAGGGAACTTATCAGGTTTCTGGCTTCAACAACTTGGTGGGTGGTGGCACCACTAATTAAGATAAAGAATATAAAAGGAGCCAATCTGGGGCAAAGGTGTCAATTTTGAACAGGCTGAGAGCCAGACAGACAAGTCTGGAGCTCACGGATCAGCCAGGCTTGGTCTAGAGACAGAGAGAGTGGAATTAACAAACTCCAATATGGAGGACTTTCATGTTAAATTTTAGATTGAGCCAAGTGAGCTAAGAATGGAAGCTGGAAAACAGCAGTATTTGGGAAAAGGTGAAGGGATGCTCAGAAAGAATAAAGAGGCCCAAGGGGAAAGGTCATAGAAGTCACGTGAAGGATTTTATGCAGGAAGATCAAGGTTGAATGTAGCAGAGAAGGCCAGAAAGTTAAGAACCAGGCTCATCTTCTGCAATTGGCAACTGCAGAACCATCTGTGACACCCCCGCCCCCCCTGCCCAGGACTGTTTCAGCAGAGAGCATGGGGTGAGTGATGAGGAGTGCACAGGAGAGGGCACAGTGACAGGGAGGAGACTCCACTGTAGCCAGTGCTGGACATGCAACTCATGAAGGTTCTTTTTAGTGAAGGAGACTTGAACTTGTTAACAGGTTGAGGAGAGGGGACAGGAAATGAGACAATGGGGATCTGAGGGAATGTCATTGGGTGAGAGGGTTGACTTCAAGCAGGAGGGACACACTAGCTCCAAAACCACAACAGAATGTGTGAATGAAGAAAAATTTACAGATGACGGCAAGGGAATTAAGAGATTATATCTAATGGCCTCAACTTTCTAAGGCAAGGCAAAGAAAGGTTCACCTAGTGGCCTTGAGTGGGACTCAAAAAAGGACAGATGGCCTTGTGGGAGGCATCGTAAACCTGTAGCAGCCCTACTCAGCCCCTTACAGCACCACTGGGTAACCCAGGAGGAAGCAGAGCAGTCAGGCTGGGCTGGGTGGGCTTTGCTGGCAGGTGTGTAAGTAAAGATGGAAACTAGCAACCAAGTATGCAAGGTCCATGGAATTGGTCCAAGTGAGGAGTGAAAGAAGCCACAAGTTGGCTGGCCTCCACTTTGCCATCTCCTTTCTTTGGCCACAGCAGGGCTGAGTACCAGCCTCTACACATGGAGACCAATCCCAAGGTTCTGGTTACCAGGGCCAAACCCAGCCAGCTGTTCTTCCAGGTGGGACCAAGTCACTGCAGAACAGTGGCCAGTGGATGAGTTTGATCAGTGACAGGATTTCTGAGCCTGACACCAGAGCTCTGTTCATTTTCCACCACAAGGTGGGAAGAACACTGCTGCTCTTGTCCATCCTTGGTTACAGAGATCCTAATCTCTGTACCAGCTAATCAACCACATAGTAACCTCTCCCTCTTTGCAGGGGAGGGGGGCTCCCCATTCCTTCATTATTCACACAAAGCAAATGTGCCACTCTGGAATCCATGTCTGAAAACCAGGTTTTTGTTTTTGTTTTTTTCCTGTGTGAAACTGGAATCTAATTAGACATTTGGGTACCAGCTGAATCTTTATGTCGTGTAAACACTCATTCCTAACCTTTCGTATACTGGCCTTATTTATAGTTAGCTCTTGTTTGCTTCAGACAAATTCTCAAAACTAGCGAAGCCTCAGTGGAGCTCTGCAGACTCACCCAGGACTCAGAAACAGCACTGGAGGTCTTAGCAGGCAGTGTGGCTGCAGAGGGGAGGACTGGGAAGTCAAGACTCTGGTTCTGGATCGGTACTCCCACCTACCCACTTCTGAAAAGCCTGCTTTAGTCTGCATCTTAAAGTAAGTTTATTCCAGCCTTAAAAAGATACAATAACCCGCTGTGACTTCTGAAGCAGTGCGCCACCTAGGAGGTACTGAGAAAATGTCAAAGAACAAGGTAGAAATGTAATCAGTGCCTGTCCTCTGTCACACGTACCTTCCATTAACTCCACTACTATCTTCGTGCCAGCTAAGCTCTCTTGCTCGGGACCCTACACTCAGCTTGGTGGCCTCTCAACTTGCTTTCAAGCCACTCCAAAGGCCTTCCTCCTCCTGGAAGCCCTGTCAGCATGCTGCTCCACCTTCACTTGTTCTAGTACCTTGGCTCTGAACTTAAGCAAATCTTTGCAAACTCTTACCTCACATTCTCTTGCCTCCCAACCTCGCCAAGAACACAGCACAGGCCCCACACAAAGGTTTTCAGTACATTCATCTGGACAGCCCCAAAAGACAGCAATCTCAAGCCAATCACTGGTCCCTACAGACACATCCTATCTGCCGAGGTGCTGAGCACCTGCCCACAATCCCGCACATCCTGGGATGACCTGACCCGGTGCTGGGCTCCTCTGAGTGGCCACTATGAAGGCTGCTGACCCTTCCTTCTAGGGCTGTTTTCTTGGCTGTTTCCCCACTAACACCTCCTGGCCTTTGTTTAGGGACTGCAGTGAGCACCATTTACTGTCTGTAGGTAGGGATATAAAGATGCCATCAAGCTCTGTGCAGTTTCAGAACACTCCCTCCCACAAATAGGAAGCAAACCAAATCTCAGGACTGTTCACTCTGGCTCCTTGCAGCAAAGGAGCTTCTGCACAGCAGCACCGCAGTCTCTCTCCTTAGCAAGTGGCAGGGGCTTCTGGTAAGCCCCAGGTTCTGCCTGGATCCCACTGTGGCTAGGTCACAACCACCTGGACTTTCCATGGCTTTGCCTCTCTGCCAGGACCTACCAAGAACAATGTTCTCTGTCCCCCTCTCCAGGACACTACATTTAGCAGGTTATTTGTGAAATTTTCATTCCTCAAATCTCTTAGAACACAGAAAGTGAGAGAAATAAAGCAATTTAATGATGGCTTCCTTGATTTATAGACAACAGAAGGCCAGACATTTCTCCCCATGCACGGTACAAAGAAACTCAGGATCAAGTGGAGAGCCAATTGTTTAAGTCCACTGCTCAGTGTGGTCCAACCAACATTCTGGCTCAGCAGCTGCAGACACTGAGAGGCGAGGGCTGGCTGGTCCCCTGAGGAGGGAGTGAGGAGGCAGGCTGCAGAGAACGCAGGGACGCAGGGTACTGCCACGCACTGGGGGATAAGGAGACAGGGAGAAGGACCGGGCTTCCAGGTGTCCTATGGTCCACTGTGGGCTCCAAGGACCAGCACTGTTCCTGAGAGCTGGAGCCAGGCCAGGCAGGGGCTGGAGGGTGGTAATGAGAGCCACAGCAGCCAGGAACAAGTTGAAAGCTGGGTCACGCTTTCCTCCTGGACACTGAGTTCTTGATGACCCAGCTCCGTCCAACAGGTAAAAAGGTCCCCAAGATGTGGAGCTGGAAGGGGTGGCAAAGGGGGAGCAGGAGGGACCCTCCACCTCCAACCCTGCCACCACCTCGAATGCCTCCATTCCCTTCTGGCCTGCCTCCCTCCTCTCCCCGAAACCCCATCAAACTCCTTAATTAAAACAGCTGAGTGCAACAATCCTAAAGAGAGGGAGAAGCAGGAAAAATGTCACGTGCTTTTAAGGGGATGACCCCATTGAGGGAAGAGGAAGAGTGGTCCCTGGCTCTGTCCAGCTCCAGAAGCTGGCAGCCATGGCCTGGGTTCACTGGCCCCACTGTGCTAGCGGTCTAGCTGAGCATCTTGTGCCGGTCGAAGACTGTCTTCCGTTGCTCCTGCACCTGCAGCTTCCACCGCTGCTGTGCGCCCTCCACACGCTCCAGGACGGTGTTGGCTCGGGGTCCCCCAAGGGACGCAGCAGCTGCTGCCATGGACCGTGCATCCTGCAGTGGGAAAAATAAAGGAGATGATCTGGCACAGTGGGCCAGAGGGGTCAAGGGTCCTGTGATTTGAAAGTCTGGCCTCCCCAAGGCAGCGGCTCCTTGAGGACACTGCCTTGTCAGCTGTAGTACCTGGCCCACTGGAGCCTTAAGGTCTGTAGCATCTGTAGAAAAGGGCCCCTGCCCTCCCTGGGGCCCCATCTAGTTGCCAGCCTACCCCACAGGCCCAGTACTAGGTCTCCAATGGCAGGCAGGGGAACCCAAGATCGTGCACCAAAGTGCTCAGGACTGACATTAGGTCACAGACGTCCCTTGCCTGCCTCACAGCCCAGGATAGGCGGAGAGACTGGGGGCTGGGCCTAGCTACTCCAGGATGGCTGCTCATCTGCTCCAGCTGGGAGGAGCAGCCTGCTGGGGAGTCCTCACAGACTTGAAGTCCTTAGTTGTTCTGCTGCGATGGGATGTGCCACACTGGGCTTGCTTTCCCCGGGTAAGAAGGGGGTGGGACCTCATGCAGAGTCAGGCAGGGGTGGAATCTGGGGTCAACCCCAGCATTTCCAATCCAGGGTCTACTCTGACCATTTCTTCCTTTGGTAGCTGAGACTGCTCAGCTCCTTCCCTGCCTGCCTCTCCAGCTCTGCCTTCCCCTTTGCTCTCAGACCTGTTTCTGTTGTCAGTCCTCCTCTAATTACCACTTCTCTGCCTCTGAAGCTCCAGAGCCCTTGCATTTCCTGCAGGACCCGAACCTGATCTTTGGGGGGAATTAGAGCTGAGGGCCAGGCCCACAGCCCCATGGGGATTTCCTCCCTAGCTCTCCATGTCTCTCATCTCCTGCCATACATCTCTTAAGGGATTAGCACACCCCCTAAGCCCTGAGCCGCCCAGTAAATGCGACTTTGCTTCCAATGCCCTGAGCTGGCACAGCTTCTGTCACCACACAGCTGCCAGGCTGGGGAGAAGGGTGGGGCAGGGAGGAGAGGGGAGGCAGAGATGGGCTGGCAGTACAGAGGGGTGGCTAGTTAGCAAAGGGACTGGAAGGGAGTTCGTCATCCACATAGCAGAGCTCTGAAGAGTTTGCCTCTTGCATACTCATCTCTAGGATGACTTAGATATGGTCACTGCCCCCGGGGAGCCTGACAAAAAGGACTTCCTCTGCAGGCAGGTAAAGTTCAAGCAACACCTGAGGGGCAAGGTGCTGGCAGTGTATGGAGCATAAAGTTAGGCTCCTTGCTTCTGTGCCTGGGCCAAAGGGGACCGCCTGCCCCTTCTGGCCTCAGACTCCATGGTGCCCATTTCACAGATGGAGTCAGGTCCACGGTGGGAGCTCGAGAGAGGAGGCATGGCCTGGCCACACAGTAGCTGTGCCCCTGGACAAGTTGTTTCTCCAAACCTCACTATAATAATCCTAGTCTTCTGAGACTTTCCCACTGTGCCATCAGTAGGAATTACATCTAGTACACAAGAGAAAAAGAAGTTTTGCTAAACAGCATTTAGTCTGACACATTTGGATATTCTCTACTTTGTTCCATTTCACTTTATAAAAATCTTGGTCATGAGTCCCCAAATCCATTTTGTGATCTCGTGGGCTGTGCCCCACAGTCTGAATGTTGGTTTGTGATGAATGCACAGGTATGGCAAAGTTAAACACATATGCCCAGGCCTCAATGAACTGGCAGTCTCAGAGCAGGAGCTCAGGAAACATCTTCCCTGGCAGCTTAGCCCCATGGGTAGGGTCTGTAGGGTCAAACGAACCTGTCTTTCAATCTTGACTCTGATCCCTACAGGCTTCACAACCTTGGGCAGGTTACCTTATTCCTGGAATCAATTTTCTATGTGTAAGATGAAGACTGAGACAATGAGAGCAGAGCCTCCAGCAAGCCTGATGGGCTGGAAGCACTCAGATCACAGTAGCAATGATTAGTAGCAGACCCTGGATCTGGGGTCCACTGGGTAGGGGAGGGCATGGAAAGCCAGGGCTGTCACAGCACCTTCCCACTCTGCTCCTCCCCAGCTGCAATCCGAGTGGTCCACGCTGAAGACAGGCCTCTATCCAGTTCTGCCTCACTGTGGCCATCAGAATGAGGTGGGCAAAGACCTGATGGCCTGGGAAGCTGCTGGCCCGGTGGGAGGGAGCTAGGAAGGCTTCTCTTCCTTCCTAATCCTAACCCTTATGGAAGCAGTATTACATTCCAGAGCCTCAGTGAGGAGGGTCTGGCTGTGACCCTGGGAGGCCTGGGCTGGAGTTTTCAGGGGCAGGCTTGGAAGGGTGGGAAAGCAGTGGCCCTGCTTTTAGGAAAGTATGTGGAGGAGCCAAGAGCAGGGCATTAAGGGAACACGCTGAGATTCACCACGTTACCACAGTGTCATTTGTTAGCCCTTCATGTAAAGTCTTAGCAAACAGCTGCTAAGTGGGGGAAAGCTGCCGCTGAGAGGCTCCAGACTCCCATTGCTAATAGTCTGATTAAAAGGAATTAAGGATTCCACATACGTTCCCAAGAAGGCCCTGAGTGGGCCTCATCTCTGCCTGCTCTGCGGCAGTGATGGTGGCTGGAGACAGGATAAGACACCCATCTCTAACCTTCTCCTTCCAGGGCTAGGTCTCAGGGCGGTTCAGGAAGGCAGACAACAGTTAGGAGACAACCAGACCACTGTGACCCCACCAAGTGCACTCTGTACCAAGCACAGTGGTAGCAGCGACTTCCAGGCTACAGCACTGGTGAATGAGCAATACTTCCCATCAGCGGATGAGGAGACTGAGGTACCGAAGGAGGCATCGCCCTGCTACCCAAGGTTCCAAGGCTGTTTGGGGCCAAGTCAAAACTTGAACCCATGTCTGTAGGTCTCTTATGCTACGACTCAGCAGCGTCGAGACCTTAGGCCTGCTTTTCTGATGAAGCTCCTTCTGGCTCCCACCCCAGCTCCAGTTCCCTTATGGAATCATAACCAAACTATCTCACCTACCCAGCCAAACAGCGAGATCCTCTGGAAAGGAGACCAGTCTCCCCAAGTTTTCCGAGTTTAACCCAAATCCTTTCTGCTGTAGCCAGAGATGCAGGGCTGTCCCTGACTCTGTCATCTGCTGCCAGTCACCTTCCTCCTGCATGTCAAATCATACCTGCTCAAACACCTGAGCTGGGGATCCAGCTACTCAGAGGTGAACTGCTCCGGAGCAGGGCACCCAGTTATGTCCTTTCTCTACTTGCAATGGCCCCTCACACCAGGCCTTGTGAATGCTGCCTCGGTCTCCCCTCCAACAACCGTGATGCGATTTATATGCTAAGTTCGACTGAAACACTTCATTCTTAAGATGAACACATGCTTGAAAAGCCTTCACCTACATTATCACAACAGCCACAGTCAAGAGCTACCACATCTGCTCCAGACTTAGAAAATCACACAAGGGCAGCATCAAGGACAAAGTGGCAGAACCGGGACTCCAACCCTGGACAACGCAGGCACAGCCCTGCTCTGAACGCTGTACTGTGCTACCCGTGATAGTCTAAAAATGTCTGTTGAATGTCAGTCCTGAGGGAGAGGAGGAGTGTGTCTTCTCATTTCACTGTCACCCTTCCCACTCAGGTCCTCAGGACACACTGCCCATCCATTTAGGGAGACCACTCCTCAGTGATCCCTAGTCTGTTCTTCCCCTAGCCCATCCTGTCCCCAGTTCTCATCCCTGCTTGATGGCCCTGCTCAGTCCTCTCCCACAGGGGTCCAGAGTAGTACTACAGCCCCACTATTGAGAAAACTTTGAAGACAGTGCTCGGGGCCCATGTGGAGAGCAACGGAGACAGCCAGAGCCTCAGAGAAGCCCTTGTCTCTCTCTCTTCAAAGAAGGCCAGCCCTGTACATCTAAAACAGCTCTGTTGCCATTTCTGGCCCAGCAAACATGCTGGCTTCCTCCTTTCAAAGGGCGTCTGAGCCCAGGGATTAGGCCTAATGCTGCTGGAATCCCAAGGGAGGCAGCGCCCAGCAATCAGCCCCACTGAGGCTCTGCCAGCTCTTTCAAAGGGAGCATGACAGGCTTTCATCTCCTCCGCGGATGGGCTGAGCTGCTGGGGAGGCTGTCCCTTCCTCTTCCAGGCCTCCAGCCCCAGGCAAGAGAGCTTCTGGCTATAGGAATTGGGAGGATGGGGTTCACGGACGCCAATCCTGAGAAATGGTCCTATCTCCAGACCTCTGAATGGGCCCAGGTGACCTCTCAAGGAACCTCAATGGATCTGTTCCACGTTTCTTCCTCGTGGAGTGAAAGCTAAGTTCCTCCAGCCCAGGGGAGAACTTATCTTTCCTGTCTCCTGCATAGGGAAACAATCTCCAGATCATTAATAAGCATGGGGACAAAGCCCTGACTTTTCCTTGGCTCAAATGGGGGTCTTGGGACCCCTCTCCCTGCCTCCCAACCCATACCTCCTTTCCTGCTGTGCAGTGTGTGTCTGTGTCGGGGGGAACAGTAGGCTCTCTCTCATTGTCCAGGAGGGTTCTTGGGTCTCTATAAAGACAAGATTCTTGGGCTCTCTCCAAGGCAGTGCCCCACTATCCTCCCTACAGCCCTTTCAGATGCTCTGGAAGTCTGCCTCTGCCAGGAAACCTTCCTTCCCAACTAACACAAAGACAAGGTAACTTCTCCCACCCGTTTAGTAAAGAGGACATTTCCAAAGCACCTAGTTCCTCACCTGACTGCCCACTTCACCAAGCCAGACCTTCCTCATGGCCTTTGTGGTCCCTACCTAGGTCCATTAAGCCACTGAGGACAGACACAGGTCTGAATCAATCTCAAAACAGGGCCACCTGAAGGATTTCTGAACACAGATAGAAAGGATAGAAAGTGCTGAACCACAGGCCCCTGCGACTGGGAAAGCACAGAGTCACAGGGGGTGAGGGATGGAGAGGTGACACCGAATGACAGGACTAGAGAGCACTTCCTCACCTGGCTGAGGGCACTCATAAGATCCGTTCTGTCCCAGCACCCACATAAGTGTGGGACCAGCCAAAGTGGGCTGCACCTCAGGTCAGGGTCTCTGAGAGACTAAACACAGCTTTTCAGGCCTCTTATGAGCCTCGAGATGGGCGGTAAGGGTGTCACCCTGTCCATCCAGGGCATGGGCCTGCCAGCTCTGGCTCACATCTGCCTGTGACAGCCCTTACACATAGCTGGACAGCACCCTCCTGAGAGAAGCCTCTTTCCCAGTGAGCCAAATCTGGGGACAGGACAGGTCCACCCTTATTCAGGTCCTGTCCCTAGGAACTAGACTGACCAACTCTAATTCCTCCTTCTTCCCCAAGGGATCCCCAGACACACTCCAAGTGGGGAGCACACAGGTCTCTTACAGAAAGAGACTCAGAACCAGCGATGGCAGGCTGCCTGTCCCCTGGCTCCATTATCTAGGACGGCAGGAGACCCAGCAAGGCCGTGCCCGAGAGCCATGCATTCCAGGGGAACAGTGGCGCGGGCTGTGTAATCATTGGCTGCATCTCTCAATTACTCCCTGGCCAACACTGCAATTAGCACCTTACCCCTAATCGCCCAGGGTTTATTAGCAATGTTCCTCCCCTATCAGAGCTGCTATTACTCTGCATTAATAACGGGGTAGGCATGCAATCTTTCCTCTCGAACACAGACCACCCAACTGCCAGCGCCACCACCTCCCCGGCCCAGTTCCAGAGGGGTGAGGCTCGTCGCCTCTGCTCCACCTTTGGCCAAACTCATGCCAGCAGGAGGTTGGGAATAGTTCGGGAAGGTACTCAGAAGCATCAGGGCTGGTGGAAGAAGTTCCGTCCGTGCTGGCCAAGACCCACCCTGCTTGGGCAGCTTCACACAGACCCGAGCCCTGGACCCTCATTCTGGAGCGGAACTTGCCCTTCCCTATCTCCAAACAAGGACTTAAAAAGCCCTACACTAAGACTGCCCAGGGCAGCTCAGCTCAGGGAACCTCAGTGACCCACAACTCACTACTTTAACAGGGAACTACCACTCCTTCGCCAGCCTGTGCTTCCTGCTTCACATCATGATGCTAAAATCTCCCTCTCTAACCCCCACCTGTGGGTCCTCCTAGCCCTTGGATAAGGCCAGGTGCTGCCTCTATTTGGAGGCATCTGCCCTGTACCTCAAGTGGTTTTTTTGTTTGTTTTTTTAAGCTAAACATCTCCAAGTTTCTTCAACTAAATCTCCCAGGACGTGGTAAGGCCTTCAGGCACGTGTGAGCTCACGTATGGCGCCACTCACTCCACGGGTGGACACGAGTGTTTTCCAGCAGTGAGGCCCTAGGGACAGATTTGGGGACACTGTCTGTCCTGGACAGGGTGTGCAGGCTGTCTGGTGCCAGTGGTTCCCCATCTTCCTTCCTATGCAAAGTCAAAAAAACACTGCAGCTTGACATTTAAGGCCTTTACTAATCTGGCCAAACTTCCAGGCTAGCTAGTGCCTGTCCTATCCTTGGATACTCACATTCCTCACACCTGCACAATGATGCCCCGGCGCTACACCATCTGAACCCTCTGTGCTTGAGATCCTACTTCTCTGCCTCCAGCCCTGGGCTGTGCTTTGAACTGAGCAAGCACTCAACAGATATTTGAGGAATCACTGAACAAACCTGTGGTCTTCAAGTGTAATGTCTTGAGTTCAAACCCCAGGGTTTCAAAAAAAAAAAAAACAAAACTAAGTCCAATATATGATGAATACCTGGCCCTGGTTGCTTCCCCCAAACCCCATCTAGAAACTGTGTAACAGGAAGACACAGCTCTCCTGTCTTGTGCTCTGAGGCTGCAATGCCAGGTGTCAGGAAAACCAAGACCCCCTCCTGCTCTACCTAGAAGGGCAAAGTGACAGGCAGAAAAACAGGCAGAAGAGCAACTACAAGCATGAAGCCAGGGAGGAGGAGTGACACCTCCACTTTTGGGTACCCTGAAGACTCGCATGCATGGAGCCCAGATTACCTCACTGTCCTCCTCATTGTGCAGTTGTTCGGTGTAAGCATCCGGCTTTCGAATGAGAGGGTCCACCAGCATCAGGAAGGTCATGTAGAGCAGGAGAGCCCCCACCACGGACAGGTAGATGACAATGATGACCTAAGAAGAGACCCGACTCGTTCTGTGAGCCAACATCCAGGGCTAGGGCCAGAAATTCATTCTTCAGACTGTTCCACCTGTGTTTGTCTGTCAGCGACCCTCAAGCACCACACTAAGGAGGACTAGGGGGCGGGTGGGTGTGGAGGGAAGGAGTGAAGGAAGAGAAGGGATGGTCCACACCAGATTCACTAGCTCTGCCCTAACCTGAGGCAGCCCTGCAACAGCGAGTGCTCTGGATGCACAGAGAAGGCAGGCAGATGGACAAGAAAGGAGGAAGTCTGGAGCCAAGACCCAAGAGTGTCCCTGCCTCTCACATACTGAGGCAGATACGAGGCTAATTCAGTGTTTCACAGTGTGAGTACTCTGGCCATTTTAGGAGGGACCCTCCATGACACTGAGCACCCATGGTTCCTACAGTGGTGTCAGGAATACCTCTCAGATTTTGAGACCAAAACAAGCACCTTCACTCATCTCAAAATGACCCCTGGGGGGGGCCATAATCACCTTACTGAGAACCACAGGGCTCAATAGCTAACTCCATACTCCAGGGCTAGTAGATGCTATAGATAACTTGAACCAAGCTTTCCTTACTCCATCTCAAATACTTTTTCTACCTCCACTACTCCTGGCCTTCACTGGCTTCTGATTCCAGCCCTGGCCCTTGACTATGAAAAGACGTTGAAAAAGAGGAAAAGAATCTCAGGACTTTCAAGTTTGGTGCCCAGCTTAGTCAACAGCCAAGTTCAACTGGAACAACTTCCTCCTGGACTGGGGCACCAGTGTTCATGCTCCTTTGGCAGGGTGAATAGCCAGGCCTGATGCCTACACCCAGAAAGGGGCAGAAGAGTGGAGGCAGAAAAAGGGTGGCTTTGTGGCCTCCAGGAAACATGGCTCTGAGTCCTTGCTGGTGGCAAAGGAATGGACAGGGACTTTGTGGCATCGTTCTTCATTCCCTAGGTGGTGGCCAGGTCTACTACTTGTCTCCTCAGTTCACCCCACGGTTGACGAGAATAAGCCTCAGCAAAAAGTAAAAGAGCCCAGATGCCAGCACCCAACACACAGTGTGGGTCCCAGGAGGCTTTCTCGGGAACTGATGCCACTTTGGGAGCCTGGTTAGACAGCAAGCTCTGGGGGCGGCAGGCTTACTCCTACTCCCATCGTGCAAGGGGCCCAGACACGGTGGACCTCCAAAGGAGATGTACTGAATGCATGGAAGAGAGAGAGGGGAAAGGAAAGGGGGTCTATAGCAGCTGTTCCAGGACTCTCAACATTCTTTTTACAGGAGCCACCGAGAGATGTCAGAGAAGGGGGCCGGCCCCAAAGGTACAGGAAGTGGGACCTTATGTCTGCACTAAACCAGCCTAGAAGGGAGTCTCACCACCACCTGAAACACTCTGGAATACAGCAGAAAATGTGACTGCAGGATAGCAGGGATGGGGGACAGTGATGTGGGACCCCCAGGCCCGAGGTACCTTGATGGTGGTGGTGCTGCGCTCCTCGTACCTGCACTCGCACAGCAGGCAGTAGGCCTCCACATCATGGCCTGGCACCGGCATGGGTTCCACCACGTGCAGGCAGTTGCTGCAACACACACAGGGCCATGGGAAGCAGGCAGCAGGAAGCTGAGAAGCAGGGGTGCACATGGGAAGGGGGCTCCCCAGGAGGGTGGAGGTTTATACCAGGCAAGGTTGGCAAAGGCCCTTTCCCAGCCCACAGCCTCCCAGCCCTTGACCAGGACCAGGACCAGGACCAGTAACATCATACTCATCAATGGTTCCCAGAGCTCTGCCCCCAGCTGCCCTCTCCCCTTGTGCTAAGCTCTCTCTGGTGGCCTATTCCATCTAACCAAAGGGTCTTCAATTTTGTCCTCTAACTAGATTCACCACTTGAGTATGCCATAGGGGTCACAAACTCTATACCCTCCCTTGCATACTGTGTCCCCATGTCCCCATCCTGCACACTGGCTCTGTGGTCTGTTTCCAGTGTCAGAGAGGACACCTGTAGTATCCACTACACTGACCAAGTCAAACCTTGGAGTCACCTCTGAATCCACCAGATGCCCGTGATTTTATTTCCCTAAAACTTTCTAGAACTCTCCTTTCTTCACTCTCTCCCACTGCTGTATCTCAGCTGAGACCCTCACCATCTCTTCCTCGCACAACTGACCCAGCCTCCCCACTGTTCTCCTGTCTCTACTTTAGCTCTGCCTAATACTACCTTTGCATGCAGCCAAGTGACTGTACCGAAATGAAGCTCCCGTTCTGTCACTCCAGGGCTCAAAACCAGTCAATGTCTCCATAGAACCTTCAGGGCAACGGCAAACAGAACCATTCCACCAGCTCCCGATAGCCTTGCTTAGGCCTTGCCTACCTGCCAGCTGCATCTCCTAGCCCTTCCCACCAACTCCCACCCCCAGCCAGGCTAACACACTGGACTCTTCTCGAAAGGAGCCACATCCTACAGGTGGGCAGGACTGCATGGCTGTGCCTGCATCCCCTCTCCACCCTCTGGGAATTCAGCTTAAAGGTCTGATCCCTCACTCCTAGCCAGCTCCCAACGCTTAACCCTACTGCTGCCATGACCACGCCACACCATGATGCTATCTGGTTCTGTACATTTTCAACCAGTGGATATGAAGTCCCTTGAAGACAGGGGTGATATCTTAAGTCTCCACTTTTCCTGTGTCTAGCATGATGCTGGCCAGAGCAGTAATGCACTGCCTACACTAAGATAGTCCCCAAAGCCCAATGTCACTTGGCAGTGCTCCTGAGCAAGGTGGCTAAAGATCACTGCCCTCATATTTAAAAAGAGACAGGCTCAGAACGGCAAAGGAACAACTCCACTGTGGTGTGAGACCAGGCCAGAGCCTCGGCCCTAGAGCCCCGACAGCTGACTCAAGGTGGGGCCTGTGCTGATGCTCAGCCCTGGACTCAGGGCCCTCATTCCCAGACTTCCTCAGATCGACAGGCTTCCAACTGCTGGGTTCATAAACAAACCACACTGAGCAAGATAAAGACCCCACAGAACAGTCACTGCCCCTGGAAAAACAGCAAAACTCTGCAGAGGTTCACAGAGGTGGGCCAGACGCCATGCTGCAATGAGCAGCTGGGCCCGGGCTCTGTCCTGACTTTGTCGCTAAGTGTCTGGGCCCCGGGCCTGTCCTCTCCTGTGAGATGCTGCTGTTGATATGGGGAGACCCAGGATCTTTAAAAGGCTCTTTCAGCTCTGAAAAAAGTCCCACAAAAATTAAGCCCAGCTTCCTAAAAATAGTCAGGCCTCATCTTCCTGCTGACATAAGCACCAAGGGTGTACACATGAGGACCACTAGTGAAACAAGACTGACTGTTCTCCCAAAAGGTCAGCATGTGTCATACATGAGTTCATCTAAACCTCTGCTGAGCCTGGTTCCGCCTTTGGGTGGCAGCTGTGACACTTTAGTCCTTATCACAGGAATGGGCCTGAACTGACAGGCACCACTTTCGGGCCTTGCACACTGTCTCCTCTAGGAGGAACAGAAAAGGCCAGGATTAGCTGGTGTCATTCCTGTCCAGAGGGAATGTCATCTTCCCTTCTCCAGCAAGCCTCTACAAGCCCCTAGGGACCAGACACCACCCCTTCCTGAGCCACATGGGCTTCTAAGTTTGGAAGGTCACTGTGCTGCTGTAGCAGTGTGGCAAGCAGGGTCAACCTGAGCTCTTTCACTTGAGGTCCCAGTATCCAGGGAAACAGGCTGTAAGCGGGGAAGGGTAATAAGGAGTTGAAATATTTCTGCCCTCTCTGGCTGGTCTGGGAATCAGTGAAACCCCAACGATCTTCATGCTTTCCTAAGGGTCTCCGTTTACCTTTGTGGTGACTAAAAAGACCATGGACTGGTCAGGAGACATTAGGGGAGAGGACTAAAGAGAAAGACAAGTTGGTTTAACTCTCTGCTCTTCTACTTACTCTGTGATTACAGGTAGTTTATTTAACTACTCTGGGCCTCAGTTTCCTCATTTATACTGAAGGCTGAATTAGATCAGCGTCTTTCAAATTATGCCCTTTGGGGAAACACCAGAAACACAGTGCAGAAGGCAGGCAGGGGTGAGGGAGTCACGAGGGACTCCTCAGGGCAGTTCTGGGTTGGTGGCTTACACATTTTGTTTCCAGGCTGTATTTGTAGAAGGGTCCTATTTTAACAAGTCGACCTACTTAGTTTCTTCCTCTCAACACTAGAGGGCAGAATACCAGTAACACCGGGGAAAACTGGTAGCTTGGCCATTAAACCAGGACTGAGCTCTGAAACATTCTGGCTTCACTCTAAATAACCGACGGGAAGGGGGGCCCATGCAACACTAGTGTGAAAATGTGGTAGAGAACTGAAGACCCAATCAAAGTGTTCTTCAATTTGGCTCGAGCACTGAGGTTCTAGGAGCAAAGTCAAGCCCCCACTCCACTTGAGGGGATCCAGGCAAATGTGATGACTTCCAGGCACAGCCAATGTTGCTGGGTCCTAGAATCCTGGAGTCTTGCTTCCCAGCCTCAGTTTCCACCCACCACCCTTAATGGAACTACCTTGAGGTTCTTGATGTAAGACTGTTCATCAGGCAACCCAACAATTTTGACTTCTAAGGGGAAGAAAGAGATAAACTCTAGCCTAAGAGGTCTAGACAGGACTCTACTCTCTGGGCATCCCAGTTTGGGTTTTCAGGACCTAATATAACCCCAGGACAAAGAAAATACTACTAAAATCTACCAGTGCCTGCCCGTGCACATGGAATATAGCTGTGTTATTCAGTGGGGGGCCCATCGATGTCTTTATTGATGATAATTGAACTATAACTACAATACATACGGAGGGTCAGTGGGGTCCCTCCCAGGGCTCCATGTCGTAGGGCTTTGTGACCCCATAAGGATGGGAGAAGTGTAGGAACAGGCCAGTGCTCTGGCTGTAATGTAAATTTGATAATGCCTGTCTAGGTAGCCTCTAGGAAGACATGACTACTAATAACAGGCTTGCATTTATAGAACACCTATTATGTAGCAGGTATGGTATTTAGTTACGTATACGTGCATGTGCACACATGCAAATACTCATTTCACACTACAAATACTGCCACCACTTTGCAGATAAAGAAATCAAAGTGCAGTGGAGTTTAACTCATTTGTCACATAATTAACAAGTGGCACTGGGCACCAGTGGCTCATGCCTTTAATCCTAGCTACTCAGGAGGCAGAGATCAGAAGGATCATGGTTCAAAACCAGCATGGGCAAATAGTTCGTAAGACTCTATCTCAAAAAACCCATCCCAAAAAAGGGCTGGCAGAGTGGCTTAAGGTATAGACGCTGAGTTCAAACCCCAGCACCACTAATAAATAAATAAAATATTAACAAGGGGCAAAGCTAAAACGAACGCCGGGGGGTTGGTTTCAGAATCTGTGTGAACACCAGACTGTCTCTCAGAAAGTCATACACCAACCATTTTGGAGCTGGAAACCCAATGAGTTTGAAAGCTCTCCAATGTTTGTCTGGATCAACTGTATCACGAGCACCTAAGAACTTTAAGAAAAGGATACTACCTGCCCTATAGTTGCTGAATCAAAATCTTGGGGGAGCCCTGGGAATCTGGATTTTCTCAAAGATCGTGTGATAATATGCATGAATGACAAAGTAGAGGCAATGCTGACCTCCGACCCAATAACACCCCTTCTATATAGGGACCTCACCCCATGTGTGCTCAGTTCCCTTCAAGGATGGGGCTTCCCAGTCCTGCAACTCCCTAAGTTAGAAATGTTACCTTAATTCCCACTTAGGGCTGTTTCCCCGAAGCTTTCATCCATTGGCCATAGTTCTACACCAAGAAACCACACTGAACCTACCCAATCTCCATAAACACCTAACTCATGTGCCCTACCTACCATAGCATCAGCTCGTCCAGTCATGGTCAGCCAGCAAATGTCCTCAGGTCCTCTCCTCTTTGAGGCTATTTCTAGTTCCTTAAACTAGTCCAGGACAATGTGTTAAAAGTTTCTTCCATCAAGCTGGTCTCCTTTATCTGAATGAACTCTTGGCTATTTCTCTCTTTTTAAAAATGAGGCACCAGCTGGGCACCAGTGGCTCATGCTTGTAATCCTAGCTACTTGGGAGGCCGAGATCAGAAGGATCGAGGTGCAAGGTCAGCTCAGGCAAATAGTTTGCAAGACCCAATCTCCAAAATAAGCAGAGCAAAATGAACTGGAGGTGTGGCTCAAGTGGTAGAGCGCCTGCTTTGTCAGTATGAAATTCAAACCCTAGCCCCACCAAAAGAAAAGAAAAGAAAAAAAAAAAAAAGTGAGGCACCAAGAAATGAATTCAAGACTTCAGAGTAAAATCTAATTCTTGCTTTGGGCCTAAGTGCATTAATGAAATGGGATCAATACCCATCCCATTTATCTTATAAAGTTCCTTGGAAACTAGAAGAGAACACACAGGTAACAGAGCATCGGAAAAACACTGAACACTGCAGACTATGCCATCATACCAACCTCTCCCTACTTCTCCACGACCACTTTGTATATGTCAATAAAGATCCACATTGAAGCAGGGTGTGGTACTGCATGCCTGTAATCCCAGCACTTTGGGAGGGTAAGGCAGAAGGATCTCAAGTTTAAGGCCAGCCTGGGTACATAGTAAGACCCTAGCTCAAAAAACAAAACAAAACAAAAAAACCCCAAAATAGCCAATATTAAAGCAAAATAATGAAAGCCAGTTTTCTAACCAGGAACCCCCTCAGGTGGAATTCAGGTCATTTAGGCCCTGTTTTTTTTGTTTTTTGTTTTGTTTTGTTTTGTGGTGGTACTAGGGTTTGAACTCAGAGCCTCATGTTTGCTAGACAGGCACCCTACCGCTTGAGCCACATCTCCAGTTCCTAGGCCCTGTTTTATTTTTGTTGCTATTGTTTTTTGGCAGTAATGAGGATTGAACTCAGGGCCTCATACTTACCACTCTGACCACTTGAGTTTTCGAGTCACACCCCCAGTCCTTTTGCTTTTATTTATTTATTTATTTTCAGATAAGGTCTCTGACTTTTGCCCAAGCCAGCCTCAAACAATGATTCTCCCACATATACCACCTGAGTAGCTGAGATTACAGATGCATGCCACCACACCTGGTTGGTTTTTGAGATAGGGTCTTGCTAACTTTTGCCCAGGGTTGGCCTGGAACCTCCATCCTCTATCTCTGCCTCTTCAGTAGCTAGGAGTACAGGAATACACTGCCACGCCCAGCCCCAAAATACTTTTTTGTAAGGCTCTCCACAGAAATGGGAGAGCATGTTTATACTCTGGAAGGTCCCAGAACTCTAGCAAACACTCCTAACTTCAACTAGGTGTAGCTGCCAAAGGCCAGCCATATGCAGTGCCTTACCAGTCCTTCTGAGTGACATTCTGGTTGTAAATGTGCCCACTGATGTTTCTGTAAGGTGGACAGATGCACTTGCACCGGATATCTTCAGAACTCTGGAAGAAAAAGCACCTATCAGGCAGGCAGAGCCCTGCCTGGGGTCAGATTCTAGCAAGGCTGCCACACTTTAGTTCCCTGCTCTGTAAGGGGACCACTCGTACGCTCTTGAACTTTCCCCAACCAATTCAACTAGGAAGGATGCTATCACTGGGTCATCAAGACAGAAACGGTCCAGATGGCAAATGAAGCTCACCAAAAGTTGTCTGGGGCTGCCATTCCCTAAGGAGGGTGCTTACAGGGAGTGTACTGTAAGCAAAGTAACTGTCCTCTACCCTGGAGACCCCCGCTTCTGTGTCCAGTGGGCTGGGTGGACAGCTTCTTCCCCATCTCCAACTTCCCAGTTTAGGATTGGGGGAAAGAAAAGGGCCGGGGAAACAGGGACAAGTGGATTGTTGCCATGGGAATACTCAAGCAGCCCCTCTGAAAGTCTTCCTTCTCTGGAAAGAGACAGCAGGACAAACAGTTTTACTCCAATTAGGAGTTCCCTGGAGGCAGAGAAGCAAACCCTCAACTCGACCTTACTTCAAAGCCTTGGTGATCTTCAGAATCTGAGTCTACAGAGCCACTCAGCTGCAGGTCCTCTCCCCCTAAGGAACCAGAGTTATCTCAGGAGCCCACCACTCAGTGAGCCCTTTCTTCCAACCGTGCAGGACTTTACGTTTATGGAGCATGCTCACATGGTGATGGGATTTGACTCTCCCCAGGCTGAGTAGCTATAACCTCTACGACTTTACCAGGCCTATGTTAAGGGTGGAGAATGGTGATAACTTCCCTAAACAAACTTCCTGGCCAGACTTCCACCTAAGGCAGGTCTGATCCAGAAGAACCCACGTCGGGTGCACCACCCCCTTCTCTCCTCCTAGCTGCAGCTTAACCCTGGGAGGACACCCCCAAGCACCGGGTCCCAGGAGGGTGAAGGGCAGTGCTGGAGCAGCAGCCACCTCTGGGGAAGCCCGGTAGGCCAAGGTGCAGCTGCTGCCTCACTCCCTCACCTTGTTAGCTTGAGCTGGGGACACCAGCAAACACCCGACCACGGCCACCAAACACAAGAGCTTCATGCTTATCAGGCTTGCCGAGCCAGCAAGGCCGGACACCTGAAAAGAGAGACACGGGGTCGGCGAAGGGAAGGAGGCCACACCACAGCCAGCACGCTCGGCCCCTTAAGCCGGCTTGCCAAGACGCGTGAATGGGGCCGAGGCTTGGCCCCAGGACTCGGGGGCCTCCGAAACCTGCTCCACAAACGCGCCTTTCTCTGTCCCTCAAATCTCCGGCCACCTGGTGCACCCAGCAGAAGGGGTCCCCTGAGGATACAGTCACCAGGAACCCCCAGATCCTCGACCAGGCCGGGTTCTGACTCTCGCATCGCGTCCCACCGCCCTCCGCCATCTCCGCCTCTGCCGCCCCGGTGGCTCCTCCCGTTCAGGTCCGCCGGGAACTCCTGGTGGGAGCCTCGATCCGACGGCGAAGGCCACTACCCAGCACCTCAAGGGTTTTGGGGCCGGGCTGGGACCCCAGGTGTCCCTACGACCCCCGCACCCCTCCCCCAACGCCGCGTCCACAAACCTGCAAGCCCAGCTGCAGCCGCGCCGGACCCAGCTGGCCCCACCCCCTCCCAGCTTCTATTGGTTCGTGGAGCAGCCTTTCAGCGCAACCTCGCTGTTGCCAGGGCAACAAGACCCGCCTTCGTCTAGGCCTGGAGACTCCGGCTCCAGGGAGAGGCAGGCATTTCTCAAACCCAAGCAAGCCAGAAAAGGGAACGTCAGTCAACCTTCCAAACTGGAAACCGGGAAGGGTCTTGCCTTTGTGTGGCTTGTAGACCTCCTGCAGTGCTTTGCCTGTCTTTGTGTTATAACGTCTTCCTGTTCTAAAGAGGAAGCATTTTATAAACTATACGCTAGTAAGAACAGCAATTATAAAAAAAGAGATTAAAGGGCTTTGTCCTCACACAATCTGGAAATGTTTTTTTAAGAATCACATTTTTACTACAGAGGGCTTTCCAGGCACTGCCTCTGCTCCTACACACACACACACACACACACACACACACACACACACACACACACACACACACCCTGAACAGGAGGAAACATTGGCAATGGGGGGAGGGGAGTGTGCTGGGCCTGTGGACTGTGCACAGCAGGCCCCATGCGCTGGTTTGTGAAGGAAGGAGTCATCATCTGAGTCCAGGGCACCAGACCCAGAGTGAGGACACTGGGCTTTGGTCCTGGCCCTGCCACTAAACAACTGTGTTACCCTGGAAAGGTCACCTTTGATAGATTGGTGCTCCGGGGGTTGATTAATAGGGCCCAAACTCGAAGAGCAATCAGATGACCAGAATGTAATTTAGTATGGAAAGTGAAGTGTCATAGAAGAGCTTTCCTCCCCACTCCCCGCCCCACACACAACCAAATGTTTTTTGAGCACTATTGTGCCAGGCACTGCGCTAGGTACTGGTAATGTATCAAGCAGTAAACAAGACAAACCCTGCCCTGCTTCTTGTGGAACTTGAAGTTTATTCCAGGAAAAATGACAAGGCAACGAGCAATTGCAGTTCAGGGTAGTAAGAACTTTGCTGGGAGAAGACTGCAGAGGCCAGTGAGGAACCTAGATCAAGGGCCAGGAGAGCCTGGGATGGTGAGGAGGAGGCTTTGAGGGGAGTAAGGAGCTCCTTGAGCTGGGCCAGTGGGCAGAATGATGGCCACCACCATCAAATGCCTAAATCCTAATCTCTGGAACCTGGGAATATGTTGTTTTACCTAGCAAAAGGAACTTTGCACTTGTGACTCCATCTCTTGAGATGGAGACAGTATCTAGGATTATTCAGGTGGGCCCAGTCTAACCAGATGAGTCCTTAAGAGAGGAACCTTTTCTGACTGTGGTCATAGAAATGGAAAACATGGAAGCTGGGTCTGACAGAGGCTATGCTGCTGGTTTTAAAGATGAAGGAAGGAGGGAATGGGTACTTTAGGAGCTAGGAAAGGCAAGAAAATGGTTTCTTCCCTAGAATTTCCAGAAGAACTACAGACACCTTGATTTTAGTTCAATTTCACTTGTATCAGAATCATGACCCACAGAGCAGTAAGGTAATAAATTTGTGTTGTAAGTCACAAACTTTGTGGTAATTTGTTATAGCAGCAACAGGAAGAGGGGAGGGGTATAGGAAGCACAAAGAGATGGTACTGGGGAAATGGCCCCTTCACGGCTCCTCTCTCTTGTACCTGCTTTCATCTCAACAATCCTAGCATTGGTTTGGCCATATAGGGCCAGGTCTTGGCATCCAGGCCAGAGCTGAGAATCTGGGTTCTTGGTGCTCCTGAATAGGGACTAGACAGCTACCGTCACCCCCAAACTGTGCCTGCTCTCCCAGATATGAACCATATGCCCTGTTTTCCCTGTAATGTCCAACAAAGCTTCCCTCTCCAGTATCCCATAGCCTCAGCCTACTAAGACATGAGGAGCTTCCCTAGTTCCCAACCCTGCCTTAGCTACACTAAAGGATCAACCAACCTAATCAGAAGAAAAAGCCCAAGTGAAAAACTCAGTCACCCCTATGATGCTCAAAGGGTCAATAATTTGGGGCACAGAGGGGTCTTTGATCCATCGATCATAGGAAGTTGTCATTCTGCCCACAGATAACAGGCCCAGTACCCAGGGACATCCTTGACATGGGATGGGCACTGTCCTCAGATGATCCAAGTACATCTCCTCTCTCTGACCAATGCAGGTGTTCTCAGGAATCAGGGAAATGGGGGCACCGAGCTAAGGGTCCCCCTGCTGCACAGCACTCTTTCCCAGCTTGGCAGTGCCCTAGACAGGCCCACTGTCTATGTCCCAGTTTGGGAATCCCCAAACTGGCTTCCTCACAGACACACTGGACTCCCAACACCAGCTGGCTGAAGCAACTGAACCAAGGAACAATCACAGTTTAATTGGGCAAATCTTGGAATAAAAGTGTTAGGCTGTCCCAATGACACAGACTCTCCCCTGTCCACTGTGTATACATGCACAGAGAGACATATGCAATACACACACTCAAGTTTAAACGAGACTCTCTTTCTGCCCTTCTAGTGCACATGGTCTTGGGTGCAGAATGTTCTCTTGCGCTCGATTTGAAGTTTCTTGGCTCAGTTCCTACCTCTGCACATGCTCTTCTGGGTGTAGTCTTCAGGGTAACAGCTTACTTTTGGGTTTCAATTTTCTCAACCATGTCAAATATCTTGGGATTTTTGCTTGTTTTTTAGTTCATAGTAGGCAAGGTAAGGTTAATGTGAACCCTTGGAACCAAATTCACAAACTCTGGTTTCTAGTTTGAACTGACTTCTGCCATTTCACCAGCCCACTGAACTTCAGTTTCCCTGTAAAGAGATTTGTTTAGAATAGCAGTTTTAAAACTTTTTGGTTACATGTCCTTTTTACTCTTTAAAATTATGTAGAATTCCCACTGGGGGGGGTCCTTTTGTTTCTATGGGTTCTAATTATATTTGCAGTATTGGAATTAAAATATTTTTTAAATATATTTTTAAAATAACAAGACTAAAGCTATTGCATTCATAAGCATATTTTGATGAAAAAACTGTATGTTTGAAAAAATTGAGTGACAAGAGTGGCACTGATTTACATCTTTTTGTAAGTCCCCTTAATGCTGGTTGAATAGAAGACAGCTAGCTTCTCACATCTGCTTCTGTGTCTAATCAGTTGTGATAGTGCATGTCATCTAACCTTTGGAAAACTCCATTGTATGCTTGGACAAGAATAAGAGTGAAAAAGGCCAATAACTTCTTTTTTTCTTACCTTGTGATTTCCCTGAAAGAGTCTTTGAGATTCATGAGGGTCCTCAGACCATAGTTCACAGACTGCTGGCTTACATGAGCCCCAAGTTTTCTTGGGGTCTTTCATAGAATACTCTACAACAGTATTTTTCAATGTGCTATTTAGGAAATACACTCCCAGGAATATTACAGAGGGATTTTACTGTAGTGGGATGCATCCTGTGTGCAGTGCACATGAGGTTCTGTGAGTAAATTAGTGTGGGAGCCTTATTTTAAAGTAAATCCAACAGGCTTATTTTGCTGTAGGACTTTGTAGGTCTGCAGTATGATAATATACATTATGAATCTCTTAAACTATCTGATTGTGCATGGTGTTTGCCCAAAGTTTTGACCACAAGCTCTCTTTCAAGGACCTTCCAAGATGAGCACACCAAGGAATCTACTCTGGGAAGTTCTGCTTCAGATGCTCCTAGGTCTTGTTCCTCAGTGGTACTTACGTCTCAGATTGAATCATGTGGAGTCAATTTTTCTCTAAATAAAGTTACTCGTGCATACTTTTTGGTTCACTTAATATAGAGGTTTTATGATAGCCATTTCAAGAGCTAGGTATAACAATATATATCTATAACTTCAAGTTGCTAAAATTTTGGCCTCTGTATACAGCGCACTTTGCTGAAAAGTTAAATAGAATATTAGTAACTATACTAATAGTTTTTATATATACTAACACACATATATATATTTGTTGAATGAATGAGTGATAATTGTATTGAATGCCTATCACATGCCAGGAACTTCAAAATATCCAATAATCAAGGATGTGTGGAGGTAAAGACACACAGATAAACGGAACAGAATAGAGAGCACAAAGATAGAGCCACACAAGTATGTCCAACTGATTTTTGACCCAAGCAATGCAATGGGGGAAAGATAGCCTTTTCAACAAATAGTGCTGGAGCAATTAGACATCCATAAGCAAAAAAACCCCCAAAACCTCATTTGCTTAAGCCTCACACCTTAAAAGAAAATAAAACTTAGAAATGCAAAATCCACCAGGTGCCAGAGGCTCACATCTGTTATCCTAGCTACTCAGGAGTCAGATCATGGAGGCCAGCCCAGCCCCCGCTCCACACCCCACCCCACCCCCGACAAAAAAGTGAGACCTCTATCTCAAAAATACCCAACACACACACACACACACACACACACACACACACACACACAAAGGGCTGGTGGAGTGGCAGAGTGCCTGTCTCTCAAGGGTGAGGACCTGAGAGCAAGGGCAAGGCCCCGAGTTCAAACCCAGTATTGCCACAAAAAAAGTAATTAAAAAAACCTTAAAATTATTTTACAAAGTTCTGAATGTAAAAGTTAAAACTATAAAATTTTTAGAAAAATGATCATAAGGCAAATTACTGAAATCTAGGGCTAAACAAAGAGGTCTTACACTTGATGCCAAAAGCACAAACCATAAAAGAGAAACAAAAGATAAATTGGACTTCATCACAATTAAAAAATTTGGTCTGAGACAGATCCTGCTAAGAGAATAAAAAGAAAATATTTGCAAACCACATATCCTACAAAGGACTAGTATTTAGAATATATAAAGAGCATTTAAATGCAACAATCAAAATGAAACTAGCAAGAAAACGGGCAAGACATAGAGACTTTTAAGAGGATACAGACATAGCAAATAAATGCAAAAAAAAAAAAAAAGATGTTTAGCACCACTAGCTGTTAGAGAGATACGATTTGAAATCACAGTGAAATATCCCTACACACCTGTGATGGTTATCAGAAAAAACACTAGCAGCACCAAATGCCAGTGACTGTGTGAGAAAAATAGGATCGCTCCTACATTGCTGGTGGGAGTTAAAATAGTTTAACCTCTCTGGAGAAC